TCAAGAATATTTGCAGAAACTTCTGAGTACCTATTGATCCAAGAAGAGAATGTAATTCTCACCTTTTACCTCCCCTTTCTTGAGATATACATCCCAGGGTTGACCCACTCAACTGCTTCCCCGGCGTCGAGCTTCGCAGTCAGCTTGCCCACCGGTTCCTACGAGATGGAGGCATGCGTGCGTGATTCGGCCGTGTTCATGCAAAACACATTCAAACAACAATAATAGTAATGCCAATCAGATGGCCGAGATCGCTAAGGCAGTAGTGCCAGAAGATCGCGGGTTCGAGTCCCGCCTCCCGCATGGGTGTATGTCTGTATAAGTGTGTCTTCTTTTCACCCCTCATTATCATCATCATTGCACCTTCATCATACCCCCAGCTCTAACAACCCTGGGGAATAACAATTGGACTCAGCTAAATACTGGTCTCCAAATAAAGTTACATGCACGTGCCACCGCGATAATGATATTGAGCCACGGTAAATGCAGGATGCATGCTTGCGTGGTCGGCCGATAATAATAGAATAATGAGAATTTAATTAGTTAACAGTTGGTTGAAAGGAAATCCCCGGTCTATTACAAAACTTATCTTAAATGTACTACTTAATCTAGTTTGGATCGCCGCATAGCTGCCCCGAGTCCTGTGTGACGGCCCTCGGCGGCGAACGCGTCGCGTGCCCCTCGGAGAGGGGGAGGGGCGGGGTGCGCTGTGGGCGGCCACGATTCAGCGCCGGGGACAGCGTTGGCTGGGGGTTCCGGGCCCCTTCAGACGTCGCCGCCACGGCGCGCTTCCGAACAGTGCTTTAAATGGCGAGCCTCGCTACAAGAAGTACAGAAGGGCCACTGGGTACGCGCCACTGCCAGTAGAAATGGCCTTCCTGCGAACCCAAAACCTTCCGCGGCGGCGGCACTCGCGTCGTTAGATTCCAAGTGGAGACAGTGAGTAGGCAGCGTTCAAGCTCCTGGTAGCCCATCACTTGGGACCTGGCCCCCTGGTGCTCTGCAATCCACAAATGAAAGTCCGGCGGGAAAATTGGTACCTCACGACAGGCTGTCTTGGATCTGGCGAACTCAGATGCAGCTCATTATGCATATCCGAGTTGGGCTATCGGCCGTCAGTGGCCCAATACTCAGGGCAAAGAGGAGGAACTCCTCGTCCTCGTTGCATGGCAGTGGCGAGCTGTCATACGACTATATTGACTCCGGCACTAGCCCGGCCCACGCCTTGAATGAAGAGGTTGCCAAGAGGGCGTCCCGGCCGGTTCCGGATGTGGGCCGGGCGCCGTATTCGTGCGGTGGCAGGAGGGGCGGAAAGAGGCTAGCGCCGCGGCCACGGCGCTCCGGGAGGCACGTACTCCCGGCGGTTCGGAGCGATCGACTGCCCCGCAGCAATTCAAACCAAGGCCCGACCCAATTGGGTTTCCTCAGCGCAGCAATTATCACGGGCGCACATATGCGCTTGTGTTCTGGAGTTTCAAAACTTTAATTCCAGCTTGAGCCTGCCATGTGTAAACATGGCACTGCCCAGACCATCAAAAGCACTTGCAAAACTGGTCTCGGAAGCCTGGATATAGCCGTTTCCTACCTTAGGCCCTATCCTCTCTTTTATACATATATGATACATTCTTGTCCATTAGAAACAAGTTCCCTTTGCTGATGCAAATATTCTTTGCAAAAAAGAAGCAAAATGATTTCTGAGGCTTTGAATTGATTTTGTAATAACATTAATAGTAAATGAAAGAAAAACAGTTCAATTACAGTTTTTATTTCAAACAGAAAAACACTTGCACTACTGAAAATGAAAACTATAGAATTGGTTGATGTTAACATAATAAAAATACCCTTATTGTCATCACAATTTCACTGAATGACACACTGGAGCTTCATTATACAGCTTTCCTATGATTCTTTTCAGCTCTGCAAAATGTAACCTGCTAAATAAAAAAAAATCTCCATTCAGTTTCACGCTTCTCAAGCTTACCAAGTTATCATGTTCCTGGGATCATCTTCATTGAAAACACTGATATGAAAACACAAGTCAATACTTCCTTTTTTATTTCAAAAACATTATACAGATGGAGGAGAAAGTATGAAACAGAACAATGAAGATTTACGTGGCAATATTCATATGCTGAATGTTGCACCTCAACTGGTTATAGATTACAAGATTTTACATAATACGAAACAGGAAAATTAAATTGCTAATGTTGTACTCAAACATTTTTAACATTCTGATAACATTATGTTGTGCTTTGCAAGCCATCTTCCTTCCTTTACATCAAATAACATCTTATCCCGCAAATGGCATTCATAAAATTTGTTGCTATTGCTAACATCACTTTTTCTTTTATTTAAGAGAAGAGTGTAAAATAAAGGACAAAGTTATCATTATGACTATAATCTATAACAAATACAAACTTAGCGAAATATATTTTTTCTCAAATTGACATCAATAAGTCTTGTGTTGTTTCCCAAATAATGGGAAATTCTACTTAGGCTCTTTATGGAAGCGTTGGACTGAAAAATACGATCCGAATATAGGGTTACCAACAAGCCAACTTTTAGAGAACATGTCTTACTTTTCAGTGATATTTATGTCTGCTTGGCATCCGACTTTTTCCCAAAACCTATTTTCCAAATTCTCTATAAACGTAATGTGTAGTTCCAATTCTAAGTTTTGTAAATAAATAAAACAAAAAATGTAATACAAAAAACTAGATGGGATAGTGACAAGTCTGCAATTATTTAATTTTAAGGCTACCATCCATATCATGAAACAATTTTCACAATGCAGTATTCTCCACTTAATACGTGAATTTTTAGAATCTTTTCAGGTTGCAAAAAGGGTAAAAATATTTAAAATAATCATTAGAAATGTGCATGTCAATTACAGAAGGAAACTAAAATAAATACAAGTGGAACATTTTATTTTATATAGCACGAAATCTGATGGGTTACAAGTGCAATTGCCTTTCTTCTAAATTTATTAGAGTCCTGCTCTTCTCCAGCCAACATCCTGTATTTGAAAATTTTCAGTTGGTAACCCTATCTGATGTAGATCCAACTGGGTAAGCAAGGACACCACAAGTTCCCCTCCCCCCACCCCTCCCTGTCCCCTGTAAGCAACATTGAATTAGAATCTGTTTTTATACATAAGAAATCAACAGGAGCAATAACTCAACTGTAACAAAACAATCTTTCTGCTTGGAGCAAATGCAAGCAATATTCATTATCTACTCAATTTAGACAAGCTTTCATTGTAACAGAAGTATTATCTACATAGAATACTGTTCTTAAAAACAAAAGTCAAAAATGCCAATATCACAACTTTAATACATCATCTGCAAAAATATCACAAAGCTCCGAGCCAAAGACAGTTCGCAATACTGGTTCTTCAAGATTCGCATCGTATTTAGAAGAAACAAGTTAAATGCAAGAGGACAGACTCGAAGGCATCTTGGCCAACATGAGTACTACAAGGAAGCATTGTAGAATAGGAGAGACAGAAATAGATGGATGAACAGTAATGCGCGACCGTTTATGAATGTTCATGTTGCCACAACACATCAATATATTACTCAACGTAACTCGGAAAATAAAATTTCAACACTAATTTTGTTACATCAGATTTTCTTTCCTTCCCCCTCTCACTCTCATCCAGGTTCACACGTGATCAAGTATATTTATTGAAATGCAATTGCTATCCTGCAATTCCTCTGTCTGGTTATTATGTTGTTTCTATCATGTTTAGTTTTCTGTATATGAATTTTGTTTGAATCATTAATTGTTTAAAAATAATTTGTGTCATGGATTTGATTTGTTCATGAGGTTCCTTTTGCAAATACTAATGAATGATAAAGTCACTTAAGTTCTATGTCTGTGCAAGAAATAAATCAAATTTACAACAGCAGACAAGACAATCCTGTAAAAGTCATCTTAGTACAAAGTCACAAAAGTCCTGAATAAGACAACCTAAACTGTTCTATAAAGTAAATAATTTGTGCACAATTTAGAAACTCAAAGTCATTCTAAGAAAACAAAACTCTTTTGCCATACTGAAGAAAAACAATTCCTTTTGACCCAAGAACTTAAAATATTACACAGATTTGTTTGTCATTGCTGTCTAAGAAATGCATGCGAGTGAATGCCTGGCACTTCCAGCAACACTAGACCCCACAAACAATCGCAAATAATCGCGCAAACAATCGTGCATCGCCACTCATCCATCTGTTTCGGAGTATCCCGTTCTAACTTCATATGACATTACACAGTTTATGTGGAAATAAGGCAGTCCCTCACTGGGAACAAGTCAGTCCTGGGGTCATACATTGCATAATGTGACAGATGGCACATTTTCATCCCTTTTCTCTTTCATTTCTGTAATCGTAGTACCATTTCGTGTTCACACACAAAAGTTTAAAAAAATCTTTTATCAAAAAAATATCATCATTCACGAATATAAGATGAAATATACAACCCCAAAACTCTTCTTTTATATTTTCTTGTACAGGCATAATAATTATAATAATAATAATAATAATTATTGTAACTAAAAATCATACTGTTAATGGAGGAGGCCCTTGCTAAGACAAACCCCTGTGAATCACAGGTAGTCGCAATATTGATTTTAGACTCTTTAGCAGGCTGAGTTTTTGAGTTTCTTTTCTCACATGATAGAACACAAGAAAGTTACACAATGATGATAATAAACAATGTAGATTGAACATTTTAGGCCAGTTCATAATAGCAGGCAATTTTATGTGAAAAATTGTACTGTCATTCAAAGGCAAGTAATAATGATAGAAAATTGAAACCACCAAAAAACTGTTACCTACATCATGCAGATATTTGCAGAAAATGGTCAGAACAATAAAATTAAAAGTTTATGCAACTTAAGTGTGGCATGATGCAAACTACATGACACAAACATTTACACTGTACAAACAAGCAGCTCTGAAACATAGCTCCTGGAAGGACGGCAATCGGATATAACATGAAATTCAGTGTTTCTGAAGCCTCTCTGTATCAGAAACCTGAAGCAGAAGTGCAAGTCTCAACGCAGCCTGCAAAGGGCTAAAAAAAAAAAAAAATGTTGCCAACTGTCTGTGCACATGGGGCCTGGGGCCACGCACCCCCCTTTTATCTACGCATGACACACTCAGTCCTTGCACACGCCTGCCCCACCCACAGCGCCACTCCGGCCGCTCCCAGGCCTGTTAGTCCTCCAAGTTGATATCCACTGGGATGGATGTCGTGAAGGTAGGAGTCTCCAACTCTTCGTGCTTCTTCATTTTCATGCCCTGCAACAGAGCAACCCATCTCGTGCAGGATCAGGAATTGAGCAAGTTCCATTAGGCAATCTTCCTCCAATAAGGAAATTCTTTAAATAATACACATTTCTTTCAATCCCCTTAACACTTTGTACACCTTTGCCAACTGGGGCTCAACAGTGCAAGATTGATTTTCTCCGTCAATGACAAGTCCCGTTTAACATATAGATAGGTTGTTTTTCTTTTCTTTTGAGTCCCTAAAGTGTCAAAATTTTGACAGAATGCACCAAACTATGAAGTAAACAATTAATAGATTACTATAATGTTTATGGTTGAATAATTTCATATCATGTTTATGAGGTTACCAATCAGTTTATGAGGCAACAAATTGGTTAAAATTATTTTGACAGAAACTAAACGGATGCCCTATGTACCCCGTTACAAAAGCTCAATCTTGGTAAAATTACAACAAAATTAGAAATTTCCAATGCATCACAAGTGCCAAGGTAGTGTGTCAGTGAGATTTAAATAAAGAATCGATGCAAATTCAGGACTTTAAGAATTACGAATTAATTTTATATCGTTCATTAGTTTCTTTATCTGACAGTTAATTTTATATTTCCCCTCTCTTCACAAGACAGAATATACCAAATTAATCCACAGTTTATATATCTAATTTTCATTGCATATATTCCCACTAAATTAATTAAATTTACTGTATGAAAGGTTCACAAGAGAAGGTTGTGGTCAAAAATTAATCAATTTGTAAGCTTGCACACAAGAATGCCCTTTTGCAAGCATTAACGCACATACTAAACTTTCTACTTTTAAACAAGGCCAATTTTACTTTCATTGATATTCAATTTAGAAATTAATTACAAATTTGTGAATGTTTTCACACTATTGGGGCACACTACTGTCCTTACTAGTACGAATATGCTTACTATTTTGAAAGAATAGGGAATCACACAATGAGTCATCTTATTATGATACAGCTGATTTTGAATAATTGGATACTCTTTTAATCACCCAATTTAAGTGTGATCCTACTGTTATTCTTATATTCTGAAAATTTCAACAAAACTATGACAAGATTGTAGTACCTACAAGTAAGAACTTTCAAGCAATTTATATAGTCCATAGGCACGGTTATAGCAACAATTTTTGATTAGTTTGAATCACTTTGAGGTTTCTACCAAAACATGTAAGAGCTTATCAGTGAGGTAGATTATTGTTTAAGCATTACAGATATATGAAACAAAAAATGACTCCTAGATAAATAAATAAATAATAATAATAATGAGAAGAGAAAATACAATGTTCTCTGATCATTAGTTTCTACAATACACAATTGAATTGTACAAGATACCCAAAATAAAAGCTGAGAATACATCCCACTGCTAATGTGCAAGTTCAAAATACCATAGAATATGCGATTCAAATTAACATGCAATACTATACTACCAGAATCAAGTATCCTACAAATTATTCACACATTTTTTCTTGCTGCCTTTATTGCTTAATTTCCCCTTCCAATTTTGTTCTCAGATTAAAATAATGCCTTTTGCAAAAGTTTTTGCATAGGATGTACATTCTTTCTTCATTTGGAAGGAAGAAAAAAGGCTAACAAAAGCAAGCAGGAGTTGGTTGATATCCAAATAATATTACAAGAATGATACAGTGAAAAGCATATACAATAAAAAAGCAGCACTGAAAACACTGAAAATAAAATAAAAATTACATCTAGAGTATATACCAATACTACACTCAAAAAGGTGCAAGCCTCTTCCAATATTCCAAAGGTGCAGTGAAGGTAAATGAAGTGCAGAGAATTCTGAACATCCTGATGAATATTCCAATCCTGAACATTACTCGTCAGTAGGGAGAGGATCTTTATACTCTAAAATTTCTTGAATCTATGCTTTTAAAAGTGTGCATCTATGACCTAAAAATTCTGAAATATGCAATTAAAATTAATACATCATTTTCTGGATTGAAAAGATATATTTTGTGCAAACATAATATAACTGAGCTTACTTTGTGGGATAAATAATTGCAGTAAATATGCACCCTTAGTGAAATACATTGTATGTCTAGTTCATTTTTTCCACCTGGTTGAAATACTATATCAAGAAATAACCTACATTTGCATTGTTCTATAGATAAGGGAATAAACACGAACTGTAATATGGGTTCGTAGGCTTCCGCGGTCGGAGTCAATGCATTCTTGTCTATCTGGGATGAGCCCTGTGTCGGTCAATGTTACTGATGTTTTGGCCATCTTGCTGTGGCTTGCTTCAGAGCTATACTGCTGATAGCAGCTCTTGAATTGCACGAATATTCATCAACAGAAAAATCTGACAAATATGCACTAATATATTAATCTACATAGCATCCACTTCTAACCAAATGTCAAGAAATCTCTCTTACCGATGCCCTGAAGCAACAGACAAAAATATGCAAAATCATAGAAATCATCTCCCTACTGATCAGTAAGAATTTTTATTACCTTATACAGAATGAATTTTAACAAGTTAAAAAGATTTGAGACATTCACAAGAAGAAAGTCTGAAGTTCAGAAAATAAAAGTGGAGTCTGTAGGAACACTACAAAGAGGGGCAGCCACTTCAGGATATTCATTCAGGTTTCAAAATTTCTCAATTCGACTGTTAATTTCCAGAGTTTTAAGTTATGTAAAATTAAGTATTAAGAATTAAATCTGAAATATGTTTTGTTCACCAAACGCTGTTGGTAACCTGACCTAGTTAGTAAGTAAAAGGAACAATTAACATTTTAAATTGTTCAAAGCATTTGTCACTCCAGCCAAGAATCAAATTCAGGTTTCCTGATTTATAGCCCAGTTGCTTTGCGCAATAATTTACCGAGTGAATGTATGCTCCAAACGTTATCTTGCATCTATATACTGTATGTGTATTTTGCATTTATTATTTGGTATACATTCTTGATCACTATTTCATCGTGGTGACAGTACTGTGGGAATAAAAGGACCCATGAAATTGTTTGAAGCATTGGTCATCTCACAGTAGCTAGAGATCAAAGTAACTGGGCTGTGAACAAGAATATTGACAAGTGCTTGCCAGCCAGAATGACTAATACTTTGAACAATATTGGCTAACACTACATAATTTCTTTTCACTGCACTTCACACCACATGTCTGCCTAGACCTAACAGTAGAATTTTGTAAGAGGCAATGGAAACGCTAAGTATGGATACATTCTAACACCACAAGTGACAAGACCCAAGCCACAGTGCGAAACACCAGCAGGCCACAGAGATCAAAAGGGAGCAACGGGCTGACAGTCCACAGACACAAAGGCTCAGAGAATGCACATTCGACTTCACCATGAGTTGTATGCTGAACACAGTAAATACACACAAATACTGAAGTTGATATCCCAATTCCCAACCTCGAGAAATTATTCTTCTGTACTGCATTAAAAAGGTAAATGCTAATTCTTGTCCACATGCAAATATTACTGCTTTTTCATCATAAAAATAAAAATATCCCTTAAAAATACAGTATATTTAAACAAACTTTATTGAGTGATACCTATAACACACAATCTACAATTAATTGGACACTTTTTGTAATTCATTATATAAAAAAGGGCTTTGATTTTCAGTTTTTAACATCCTTCAATCCATAAGCATATAGGAAATATAATAATGTCTTTCTCTCTCTCTCTCTCCTCCTCCTTTTTCTATATCACTTGTTCATCTCATCAGAGCTACTTTATCTTTTTATTTGAGATCATATAATAGGATTAGTTTTGTCGCTATATTAACAAGTTTAGTTTCTGTTTCATTGATCATGTTTAAAAAATTTGTTTTTTATTATTCTATTGTATCTTTCCAACTTCAATCTACATCCTCTTCTCAAAAAGCTATCGTATTTCCTTGGTAAGTGGAGGTTGTCACTGTGTCAGGTTGTTTTTGATTCTGCAGTGTTCTTTTCCTTTGCAACTCTTTGTAAATCACCTTCAGATGTTGCCAAAATCGCTTGGTTGTCTGTGAAGTGTTTGGTTTTAATTTCTTTGCTTCTTTCTATCCCAGTTTTCCATTTGCTCACCATATTAATCATATAGATATTGAAAAAGAATAAAAATAGTGAGTCCAACATTTTTGGGGATTGCTGTTGTGACTTTTCCATCTGCGTTTCAGATTTTTGTTTCCGATTGCTTGTCTAGGCTCTCGATGGCTTCTATTACGTGTGTCAATGTTTCCGAGGTCCAGGGTTTCCCACAGTTGGTTTAAATTCACTCTGTCTTATGCTTTTTGTAGTCTACAAAAAAATACTCAACATTTTCAAAATCACAGCAAATTTTGTTTTGGTCTTTTTGCTATTTGGTCAACATTGAAAATTTCATTTGTATTACTTTATCCTTTCCAAAACGGACGTAAGTTCTTTATTCATTCTTTCTCCACTAGGTTTAGTTGGCCTATTTTTTAGAATTCTTGCATAGATTTTGTAGGCTGCAGATTGTACTGTTATTCCTCTTATAGTTTTAACGTTATTTTTTTGGTCCTTTTTTGTATGAATATATTACTATCACAGCAGGCCACTTTGTGGAAAACTCTTCCAATCCTGCCAATCTCATTTATGCCATTCAACAGTTTATTTTCTAATTTCAGGTCACCATACTTTACCACCTCCAAGTTAAGTGTCAGGTCTTGACCTTTTATAGTTTTTTGCTTTCCTTAGCATTTTCATTGGTTCCTCTCTATTCATTCTCTGTTGTGCATGTGCCTTATTTCGTAGATCCAAGGTCTGTTCTATATCTTTATAGTATTGTTTTAATTTTTAACTTGTTTTTGCTTGATCTATTCTTTGTACCTAAAATGTAGTGGTTGTTCGATTGCTCTTCTGACACTATGAAAGAACCATCTGGTTTTACTGTATTTCCATTTTGGCAGGTTTCTGTCTTGCAGAGAGTTGCCAAAAATTCTTCATAAAACATAAGATACTGGATTTTACATTTAATTATGTTATTGAAACAAAATAAAACAATTTACCAATAAAATATTGCAGGAAATAAAAAATCGATATCAAAACGGGGAAAAATTCTACATATACTTCTCTAGTGGAAGGGTTTATTTATTTATTAATGGTGGCAGCAACAAGCTGTTGTACATGTTCTTATAGACATTTAGACACAGTAGCACAACTTTCATACATTATACTGCGAGCATTCCTTAAACTGTGTGGTCTACACATCACCACACTATGACTCCTAGACTAGGATGACATGACAGCCTTCCCAGAATTCTAGTGTAGACTTTGGGAAATGTGGTGACACTTTTAGAATTGGACGGGCTGTGAATGTCCCATATTAAGAGTTTGGAGCGATAGTGACGTAGTCTCACTTTCTCACTTCCTGCTACCTTGAAAATCACACCAAAGCATATGAAAGTTGCAGCCAAACAGTGGCAGAGTTCACCAATGATTCCCTGAGAGCAGGTATAAGAGGAGAAACTCATCATTCCCTCTATTGCCTCAGGATGTGACCTATCACACTACACCATTCCAAAGTGTGCTGCAAATTTAAAAATAAATTTTCTTTCTACCTTCTTAGATACGTAATCATCACTTTATGTTTTCTACAAAATTATTTGAAGTGTTGAGGTCAAAAGAGTAAGGCATTTGCCTAAAAATCCAATGTCTAGATACCCTAACATCCTTTCAGCCATGCTGGTTTTATCTATAAACTATGTTACAATTTCATGGTAAATTCTACAGAATAGTCGGGGACAAAATTGTTGAAACTAGTTAGATTGAGAAGGGAAAAGGAAAAGAAGAAGAAGAAGAAGAAGAAAAAAAAATGGAAATAGTATTAATGGAAAAGGATTTCACGTCTGTGGAAGAACAATACCAGACTCAACTTACTCAATAGCTAACTCAACTTACATTTCATTTAATGCCATGAAGGTCAGTCTTTCAGGAAATATATATAATCACTTCACCAAGGACTGTGCACATCAGAGCTTGTCAAAAAACCACACATTACTATAATAATAAATAAATCCATACAAACAGCACTCAAAGGTACATAGTCAAAAGCATTATTTGACACACCAATTGTCCTCGCCTGCCTGTTCTGAGATATAAATTGTCTAAATTTGCTTATTTCAATGTGAAAAAAATCAATAAATGTCATGGCTCTGATTGAGAAATTTTAATATTCAGATTAAAATAAATAGTTAAATAATTTTAATATTGCAAAAATGAAAGAAATCTACAATATCTGCTTACTATTGACAAATACAGTATTAAAGTAATGGCACCAAAAACATTTCATGAAGATAAATGTAGTATATTATTCCCGATATTGTGAATCTCCAGAGGAAAAATAGGCATTGCAAATGAAGAGGCCAAGTTTGTACTAACCCAGACTTGTACTAAGAATAATGAATTATATTTTGAGTGCACCAATGTATTGAACTGGAAATGAAGAAGAACCATAAAATAAAAATGAGATGTTTTACTGGTTAGTAGGCAAAGCAGTAAGTCTTTTTTATTTTATTTTTATTTTATCGAGTACCTTTTTCCAAACTCCTTCTTGTCCCTACATTTTTTACTCATTAAAAGAAACAATAAAAAAACAACAACAACAACAACAACAACAACAACTCACGAACAGACAGAACGGGTAAAAAGTTTAGGCGTCAAAAATTAATTGGGCTGTGCTCCCTCGAATGATCACCCTTTAAACTGATATCAATGATTACAGTAAGGTCGTGGTTTCCTGGTTAGACGTGTTGCCATAGATCCATGGAGATACATTTTGCCGATGCAGAAGCCAATTTTGAAGGTCAATTTTTGCATGTGGAAAATAATTACATGGATAAATTCCATAACAAAAAGTTATGCAATAAAGTAACAGTAATCTTTTTACAGAAAGAATATTTATGTACATAAGAATAGTGTGAATCCAACAATGAATACATCAGTAACTGCATTGAAATGAATATAATATGATATGATCTAAAAGTGGTAACAGACTACAAGAAAAAGACACTACACACCACTTTTCAATGTGATCCATTGAGGGCTGTAATTTATTTTTTGACAGATTCTAAAATGGTTAAGCATCGCCAAAGACTGTATAGCTCTGTGATTTATATTCCTCCACCAGCCATACGGGCTACGAGCTGATAATGCCTCGAAGTCAGTTCAGTGCATGTAGTTGGACGTTAGGGATAGTTTTCAAGACAGACTTTTGGTGTTACAATATTGACACTACATAGAATACTGTAAAATTTCATCCAAATCGTGTCAAAAAGCAGGTGAGAATATGAATGAAGTCATCAAATGGATGTTAACAGTCAGACCGTGAATGCTGAATTTCATAGCGAGCTTGATACTTATTCTCCATTAGCTTTTAACTCACAATAGAGAAAATCTTAAACACAATTATGTTTCTTAAAAGAAAGTTTTGAAGTGTACCTTTTTTGTATTCTAGGTACATAAATGTATCTATAACAAGCAAACATTCTCTAATTGGCAGAATGACGATGATGTTAATAATAATAATAATAATAATAATAATAATAGGGAGAAAACAGCTCTATCAAAGTCCGTTACTGTTTGTGAATTGAATGTCGCTAATTTCAAAATGTTAATTACCAGGCCATGCTCCCATAACAAGTTTGATCATCAATGAATGTCCACAAATCACGCAAGACATAAGAGACAACACACGGGGCATATTCAAGGGCTCTTATAGTAAGACAACTTTCAATAAACACCGGTGTGGCGAAATAATTACAGATGAGAATGTACTACTGGTTCAGCACAGCAACACATGGAGAGGACGTCAGCCAGGCATTACAGGGTACAGGTATTGCAGCACAGAGGTACACGTTTGTGGACAGTTTTCCCCCTTTCAAGACTTCAATCAGCAAGCACCAACCAAGGAAATGTGGGAAATCCACAGAAAAAACATTTGCAATTCATGGATTTTTGTTAATTTTAATTTTTGTTTATCAATAATAAAGGCTTGATTTCACTTCATTTGCAAAAAATCCATGGACTTGTTTCAAACACAGGAACAAATATCACGTTTAAATATTTATTTCTTAAATATGCTTCCATTGTTTTGTGATAATTCAATTTTCAATAGTGTGATATGATTACATAGACAGCTACTATTTTGTTATGTTAAATAGGAGAATTTTATTTTTATTAAAATGAAAGCTCTGATAACTAATACAATGTATTTATCTTTTTAGAAAAATGTGAATTAGTTTGCAGGATTTCAAGTTTTGTACTTCAAGTGAACTGCAAGGCCCTTATGGCTGGTGACTACCATCTTAAACCATTTATACACTAATTTATTTACTTATTTATTCATTCCTTCCTTCCTCCTGCAGTAAAACAGATGCTCACGTAATCGTTACATATTATAATTTGAAATCTACTGCCTGTAAAATTGTTTGTAAATATAATTTATGTTTTTTATTTAAAAATTATTTTGTACTTTTATGATAATTCCCATCCCTGGCCATTTTGAAATTAATTTTTGGAAACATTTTTTCCTAATTTTTTGTAAAACTTTATTTAAACGAAACCTTAATATCGCATTCAACCTAAAAATATTCCTTGAAATTAATATACTCTGGCTTTGGAAGGAATGATTATTGTAGGCTTTCTATTCTATTGTAGGCTAGTGAAAGATTTTCATATTGCCAAAAATGAAAATTAAATTAGATAATCCACAAATACAAATATTAAAAATGTTACAAAGATAATTTACTTCTCATGTTAAAATCGAGAGAGATATCAATGAATTATTGTAATTTTTAATACAGTTCATTGTTATACAGTAAAATTTGCCTAAACGAGACCCTGTACAAACCTGAAATCTCTTTTAACAGGAAAATTTCTCCAATCCGTGAAATTAAATGGCATTTTACACAGCATAAAATAGAACTTCTCCAACATGGAAATGGAACCGTTTTTCACGCCCCGCAGGGTTAAAAAAAAAAAAAATCTTATAAAACGGAATTCCTGTGAATGTAAATGACACGTATGTGTTCGTGATGTGAGACACGTAAAGTGTTCTTAATGAAATGAATGCATCTGCAAGCTTGTTTTAAATTGACCTTGGGATCACTTGTCTGTCAAAGTGTAGGCCATAGGGGCATTTCCCCCCCCCCGTAAACCGGAATTAATTTTGTGTCCCAATTGATTCCTGCTGAGGCAGATTTTACTGTAGTAATACTGAATATTTATATGAGTACATTAAAGTATAGAGAAAATACTTAGCAGTTCTAAATACATTAATACAATTAAGTAAAGAAAGAGTAGGGAGCGAAGAAGGGACAGAGGGGGAAGAGAGAGGGTCGAGGCACAGGGAGAGAAAGACAAAGATAGAGCAATTACAAACCGTTCATCAAATTTAATTCCACTATTTACCAAAAAGATTTTTAAAAGAATTTTAAGAAATATGAACCGCTGAGTCGTCAAACTGCTCTGAAAAAGTTACGATTTTCAACCAAATTTTTAACAACGAGAGCAGACTTATTTCTGCCATTTTGATCTGCGCTGGACTGTCAGGTGTGGGGTGCCCTGAGACGTTCACCGGCCTGTAACTTGTCCACAAACGTGCTGCCCATGTGCACTTTGCCTGGCGGTTGAGCGCGGTGCCTGTGGCCGTGGCGGGCCTTGTGGTGTGCCTTACCCCCACCTGCTGCAGCTTGTAGTGGTTGATGATGTCCTGGTCAGCCGGGCAGCTTTGTGTGAACGCATCCAACTGGTACATGTGGTACATGTAGCGCCACAGTGCACTCAGCTCCTTGGGGATCTCAAAATCCACAAAGTATTTCCCTAGGGCACACACATCAGGAATCATCAGTTGTACATAAAGGCACCACCCTCCTCAAAACACAAAGCAAACCGCACAGAAAGCTAGTAGTGAAAGACTTGAAATGCCAAATTTTTTAATAAGGGGCCCTCACATGAGCATGCATGCATACAAGTGTGCGTTTGCATGTAGGATAGGAATATTCATCTTTTGTAAATAGAACAACCGTTGACCAAACATTTTACCTGCAGAGATGCTAGTGGCTCTTTCCACGAGCATGCAAGTTACAATTTCGTGGATCCTGAAGAGTGTAAGTGTAGTGTGCAGAGATGTTTTTGGTGATGATGACGGTAAGAAAAAGCCAACAAAAGTATGAGATTGTGTCAAGTGCATATACACTTACCAGTAATGTAATAGAAATTAATGTGTAGCAAAGGGCAAATAATGCAAATAATACCATTTTTATAGTGTTAGTAACCATTGAGAGTGCATCTATCCAATTGTTAATCATATTTAGCACAAGGCTAGTTTTATGAGCTACACATGTACTTATTTTAAAATACACAATTTAACACATATTCTTTCTGACCTAAGTTTTTTATTCTTCTTCATATTATTGTTTTAAACTGATACTGAACAAACATTCATTTGCAGAAATATATCATTAATATCATCATCATCCTCATCATCATTAGTATTATCATAACCATTATCATTATTATAATTAAATACATTTTTAATTATCATAATTTAACAGAAAAAAATTAAAAGAACTGTATGTAGCATATTGGGGCGAAGTAAAATCTATGCAAGTTTTCTTCAGCTTCTCTTTCTTTATATGTTTTTGATTTATGAATAAATAAAGCAGAATGTGTTTTGACAACATTTTATAATGGGAAACATTTGCTCCCCACATAATAGAAACTTTTCATCAGCAAATGAGCAACAGATAAATATTGTTACTGAAATACCTAAATCCCCCATTTCTACCATGTTTACCAGCATGAGAGAGCAAAAAAAATGTGTGTAGATTACTGCCCTGCAGCAAAAAGGCACTTGTCCAATGGATTAAGGGGAACTGGACAAAAAACTTGACCGAAGGGGGGTTCTTCGGGGTTCTTCGACTCAGCAGTTGCATTATAATACTTGTTAAAAGAATAATAAGTCTTTAGAGTAGTTCAATATAAAGGGTAACTATATAATAAAGAATTATTAAAATAAATATTATACAATTTAACTACACTTGGCTCTTTCCCATACTACTTTTGCCACTTGTAACATGACATCAAAAAACATCATTCCTGCCTTCCAGTCACGAACAGTAACAAGCAGTGGCACCAAGACTGGAGGGTAGAAAATTTGGTTCACATTCAAATCATACAAAAATGTACACATTTACATCCGATTCAAATTAGCTGCTGTAAGGTCTATTGTGTAAAGTCAGATATTTCAATAAAGTGTATTAATCAAAATTTATAATACATTATTTTAAGTAAACTGTAAAAAATATAATTTAGAAATGTATACAAGTCCTTTACAATACAAGAAATCTCATACTTTTTTCCCCTCCAGAAGACAAAGAATATTTATTAACTATAGTTAAAGTATAATTAACTTTTTCTGCTCCCCTTTCATATTGTGTGTCTGCAGCTCATTGCACAATGACATTATGACACAGCCTCATTACAGTACTGGTGTTTAACCATACCAGAAGTTTACAATTGAGAAGTAATCAATCGTTGGGCATCGTTCTATTAAAAGTTGTTTGGATTGAGGTATTACTGTGCCAAGTCACCTCATGAGTAGACGACTGTATTTGTGATGCGCATACATTCCTTGGCCTCCAAAAAGAAGAAAAAAAGAAGACTGAATTCGTTTAAGAGTGCTGAATCAGTTATTAATCTGATAAGAAATAAGAATGGATACCAAACTTCAATGTAATTTCTTTAGTGAATTGACTTGTGTATTGCTCATTTGAAGACCGACTGTAGTTACGCTTAACCAATGCTATTCTGGGGGTTGTAGGTGACAGTTTTCAACGTGGCATTATGAACACTGCATGCCAGTTGGTGCAGAAACATTCAATGTAAAATTTAATTTGTAATAGTTATTATTAGTGGAAGAGAATTACTGTGCACTCAATGAAAAGGGTATTAATACACTCATTTGAAGTTTACAATACTTCCTCATACTGTAATATCACTTCACACTTTTGTATTAATACACATCATTACATCATTTCATAATATACTATTTTATCTCCATAATTTGAATTAAATAATTTTAATTACTTCTATTTTATAATTAAATTTTCATCTCAGCCTGACAAGTATGTATTTCATTCTTTGACTGTTGGTACAAGAAAGGAATCATTAACAATAATTTTATTTTCAAACAGTGAATGGGTACCTGCGACACGGATATGCTGCAGGCGTGGCATAAGCTCACAGTCGAAGCAGCACATTGTATCCCCTGTGAGGAAGCGTGTGGCCTTGCGCCGCATGTGCTCGTCAATCTTACGCAGGTGTGCAAGCAGCGCGTGCGCTTTGGAGTCATCCCCGCGCTTCAGCAACATCAGCTTCAGCTTGCTGTACAGGTTCTCGATCAGCGTTGCCACCTCCTTGTCCTGCATGCAATTCAACACACTCTTAGTAATAATGAGATCTTCCCTTAATATTAAGAATTGTAAAAATTAATATTAAAAATAAAATATAATTAATTTCATTCTATTAAATTTAATATCATCATTATTCATTGCGATTTTTGTTTGGATACAGTGCTGCCTCAGTAATGATATGTGAAAACTGAGAAACAAAGGTTGGTGACCATTGTTACGTTTAATTTGGCTATTTATACCAGTCGTATTTGCTTTCTGCTTATGATTCACCTGGATTCAGCAACACAGGTCCAAAATTTATCTTCAAACCATACAGCGGTAGCTTGACACTTAGGGAATGGATGTGTTTCCATCCTTTGATAACATTACCAGAATAATATTTCGTATTTTGCAGCACCAAAAATTAAAAAATACGAAAAAGGGAGTAAAACAAAAACAATATTGCTGTTACAATGATTGGACACATTTATATCTCCTCCATCAATTAGAAATTAGCATTAGTAGATAAAACACATCCCAGGCTTTTCTTTAGCTTGCAGCTCATCTTCAACCATGGACAATGCACATCATGCCTGTGGATTTCTGTTTTTTTTTTATTGAAGATACTATCAAACTTCGTACCATATCATATCATAAGAATCATCATAAGAAGTGAACTATAACAAAAACATGGGTCTTCTGCATGTACTACAGACCTACTGAAAATGGAAATTATTATTATTATTATTATTATTATTATTATTATTATTATTATTATTATTATTATTATTATTCTTTTTGCTGATATTTGGATGTTTAGAGTTATTAAGTCATTTCATGACAAGAAGGCTACAACAATCGGTAGATGGTTTTGCTAAATGGTGTATGTGGATAACAGTCTTATTTTAAACCCTAATACATTCACAACTTACTTTTTCTATCTCAAGCCTATGGGCAGGTTATGGAATCCACATGTTACATCTGAAAAGAGTTACTACCTTCAGAGATTTCAGCTTTAGATTTGATTTTAAAACATCTTTTTGGGACTATATAAATGAATATAATCAATAAAGCTAATCAGATACTTGCATTTATTAGAAGAACATGTCAAGACTAACTCTTTACAGATTTGGGGTATGCTGTATCTCATGCTCTCATCAGTTGTTTGGTCACGATGCTTTTTGAAAGATATTTCTAGGCTTGAAACTGTGCAGCGTAACTTATTTGGTATTTCTGCTTCTGTTTTGGGTGTGCAGATACTTTTTTCAATGCAAGAACATGGTACGATTGCTTCAAATTTGGGAATAACTACATTGAAATCATGTAGTGAATATGTCAATGTATATTTTTTGTTTAGACTTCTAAATGGAAAAATTAATCACATATCGTTGCTAAACACATTTAATTTCAAAGTGCTGCAATTTAACTGTAGAAATCACGGTGTTAAGTGTTCAACTCCAACAATCTGAGTAAACAGAATATGTAAAATTGCTGATGGTGTTGACATCGACCTGAGCCATGGCGACATTTTGGTTTTTGAAAGGGTTGCAAGAAGCATGCTTTTGGAATAAGGCCGATTGTATGTCCCCTTATTAAAACACCGCATATTATTAGTTTGTCGGCATAGTTTCACATGCTGTAATTATCAATGTATTATACTATTTTCATTGTATAACTTTTTAAATTTATTTTAAACTTTCTCATGAAACTACCTTCCTTGGCCAATCCACGAAAGCCTTAAGTGGAATGCTCACATCTCGGATATTCAAAGCTCAGAAAAGCCGCATACCAGCGCTACGATCTTCACAAGGTCAGCAAATGGCGTACGATCGCTATTCAAAAAGCATCAGGCAGCCTAAAGCAAGCCCCTATAAATTCCCCATCCTTGCCCTATTCTCTTTCCTTAAACACACACACACACACACGCTCACTTATACTTCGATATAGCTTCAATTAACAGATCATCAGCTGTTATGGTGCCATCCAATCGACAGTTTACATGTCACTACTGTGACGCTTAATCTCCCGATTGGATGACAGTGGTGATGTAAGAGGTGATTTACGTTAACCGAATCCAAGTATCTATGCACTACACCACCTAACACGGGAGCCAATCGGGAGCCGCTGCGAAGGTATTCGTATCTGGAGGAGACACTCCCCGCAACGCGACTTTTAGGTCGGCGCCAAATCTCACCATCCAGCAGGGATCGAACACTGCCACCTCCCGCGATAAATCCATCACTACACTATCGCAACTAATGACCATGCAGTCGATGTGTCCGGGAACGTTACTCCATTAAGTAAATTCCTGGGCGGGGCGGGGGAGGTACCTGCACGAAGAGGTTGTGGCCGCCCGGGACGTTCTTCATGATGTGTCGCTCGATCTTCTCGTTCTCCAGCACGGCCAGCCCGTTATCGATCAGGATGGGCGGCGGCGTCGCCTCAAAGTTGGTCCTGGCGACACACACACACACACACACATGGTCAGTTCAGTTCATGCCTTATATTACGTGGCGAGATTCGGGCCATCAAGCCCGCTCTTCCATCTGACAGTGCATATTTCGCAACGCTCCTTTCACCATCTAGCGGTGGAAGAAGGTACTACTCGGGCGTTGAAAAAGGCGATTTTGAATATAGCTCAGAGGCTTCTATTAGGCATGAGGTTCTTTTACATGCACTAAATCTACATGGGTCAGCCGGCTTTACTTCCCCTTTGAAAAGGCGTGCGAAGAATGGTTTCGCCTTTAAAAATCCTTTACACTTAAATTTAAAACCGAATCCTTTTATTTGTCCGAATATTTGTACCCCTATTCATCTTTTCAGACCAGGAAAGGAACCTCTTCTGCCTCCAGAGAAGGGCTTTTAAGAGGGACGCCACGAGCGGGAGGCCATGCCACGTGTGACAAGACCAAGCCATCCCTCCACGCAGTTGGCCACTCGCTACAAGAGGCAGCCACCCTGGACGCTTTCACGCTTTACACATGAAAGACGTTTAAGAACGTTTCTTGTTGTTTTCTTAATATTTTGTTATTTTTATGTGCCTATCTTATTTACATTCGATTCCACGTTGGTAATGTCAGGCTCTAGAGACCCAGAGACACAAATTCGTAAGCCATTTCTCAAATTTTCAATACTTATTCGAACCACGAGCTTGTATTTGAGCAATTTCATTATTTCATACACAGGCATATTTACTACCGCGCTTAAGATATTATTCGAATAGTGTCATTTAGTAAGTTTGAAAGTCGTAATATATCGTATACTATTACACTGCTTTTTGAGAGCAGGTTTATTACTGACAGTTTCCTTTCCCGACGCTAGTTGCGCAGAGCCTTGACTCCACAGCTATAGAGTGCGCTCTCCCTTGCCTGGCAGGCGTGACCTGCCTTAATGCCAAAATACCCAAACTCACCCTTTCCTTGCCACCGTCATCCCCCGTGATGATTTGCCCAAGCCAGATGCTACCCGCTTTACTTTTATAATAAAAGTAAAATGATGAAATACAATTTGACACTACGATAACAGGCCTCTTCTCGACTAGTGTCAAACTCTTCCTTAACCTGCCACTCAATCTCTTTCCCGCTTTCTCCCCGAACAACCGAATTGTGGACTCAGTTTACACCCCATGGAAACGTTAGCACAGGGTCGTCAGATGAAGTTGAATGGCTTTCAAATCAATTTCGCGCACATAGCAGCTTCCAGGACCGTTAAAGTAGACACAACGCGTCATTTCAAAAGGAGACTTTATTGCATATTAAACCAACAATTGTTTTAAAGTTTCCATAATTTAAAAAAATAAATATTCTGTTTTTTTACGCAAGAGTCCGTCTTCCCTATTTGCAACCGATGCCTTATGCTTTCTCCGACCACGCGCTGTGTGCATCCTGCAGTGTCCCTTGCGATGGCGCACCTGAAGTCCGGCGGGGGCTTCTGCATGTCCACCGTGGTGACCTTCAGGCTGATGGTCTTCAGCTCCGCCAGCAGGTACAGGTCCATGAAGTACTCCTGGCAGAACAGACACGCGCCCTTGCGCCGTCCGTCGATGGTGGAAGCCTACAACACACATTCATTCATTTATTTAAAGCCTAAAAACGTTAAAAACTTTGGGTGACAGTGTGGGGAGAAGGGTATTTTGAGCACGCTTTCTTAAATTCGGGAACCCCTACCCTAACAAATATACAAGTTGAATTATGAAAACATGAAATTTAGCGTTTTCATCAAGAGTTGTTAAGAAAATCCTCGCTCCTGTGCACTAAAACTACAAAGAAAAATGAGCTACAGTTTTGGGTTTTTTACCTCTCGTCGTACTCTGCGTTAAGGAATCTAACTACTACTCCCGAGATGTAGAATCGCAATTTGAATAACTGTATTTCCCACTGACCTCTACAAAACGAGCATAGGTAGCGAAGCTACAATTATGTCCAGTAGTAAAACAAAGGGCCATCTCAGCATTCGCTCGAAGGACCACGGAACTCGGACAAGAAAAAGAACAACCCGATATGGGGGGTCAATGAGCCAGTAGCTGAAGTACAATTCTTGCGAGAGGTGTTTTTTTTTGGACTGTTCAATTCAAATGTAATTAAAACATCAAATATCATTGTTAAAATAAATATTCTTTTTGATCGCGAGTATAATCTGCAATTGTATAGAAACAGTTACTGCAGCATAAGAGGTTTTACTTCCCACTTAAACGGTGCATCGATTTTAATCGTTTCATCTCATCCGGCAATCGGTGGTAAAATAGCATATGAACTGTACGTGATTTTTTTGTAGTGAGCTCCTGATACTGATACCTGATGAATATGATTACTACGTCGTGTTATAGTTTTGACATATGTATTCCCTGAAAATATGTTCGTACCCACGAATAAGTCATTTTTGACAAAAAACACTCATTTGTAAACCACGAGCTAAGGTCAAATTCCTAGCTTAATACAGAGAGGGTGGATTCAAGAATCACATGGGTGGGATTTGCTTAATATCTGAACAAATAGTTTTCTAATCCTAAAGTCTGGGATCTAGAGAATATT